GCACGAGCCGCCCGGCGCGCCCGGGGCCTTCATTAAAGCGCCCGGGGGCCGGGCTCGGCCCGCGCTACCCGCTCTGAACTTCCGCTGTCTGTGTCTGTCTCCCCGTCGTGCCCGCTCTCGCCGCGCAGTGCCGGGGGCCCATGTCGGAGGAGTGCGGACGGACCGCAGCCCTGGCGACCCGGAGGACTCGGAAAGGCGCAGGGGAAGAGGGACTGGTAAGTGCGGAGGGCCCCGGGCCCCGCCAGACGGGCCGTGGGGAGGTGCGGCGCGACAGAGGACCGCTGTCCAGCCGCTCTGTCCCGGGCCCGGCTGGTCCCTCGGGGAACGGGTGGCGAACTGAGCTAGCCTGCGAGGCGGGCAGGACCTTGGGTCCCCCCAGTCTCGGTCCGCAGCCAAAGGGGGTGCGTGGCCAAAGATTGGACACGGAGGAGAGGGAGAGAGGCGACACCTTAAGAAGCACGTGGGGGGAGGAGGGGTGCCAGGAGGAAGAGAAGGGAGGCGGTGGGGGTGCCCCCGTGGGTGGGGGGAATGCGAAGAAGATGAGGGGTCTAGAACCGTCTGCGCCTTGCGGCTTCCTGCAGGTGAGCCCCGAGGGAGCGGGGGACGAGGACTCCTGTTCCTCCTCTGCCCCTCTGTCCCCGTCGTCCTCGCCCCAGTCCATGGCCTCGGGCTCCGGCTGCCCCCCTGGCAAGTGTGTGTGCAACAGCTGCGGCCTGGAGATCGTGGACAAATACCTTCTCAAGGTAGGACGGGGCCACGCGGGCTCAGGGTCAGCGAGGGAGCGCTGGGACGTAGAGATGTACCCACCACCTCCCTTTCCACCGAGATTTGGATGGAGTTTGTGGGCTTTCTCTGCAAGTCATCCCATTCTGGGGCAACTCATGCGGTGGGATAAAGTGTGAGAAGAAATCTTAGCCTCTTCTATGTTGCTGCAAAACAGCTTATGTGTGACACATCGTGGTCTGGAAGTGCCGAGTCCGGGACTGGGGTAGATGGATTTTCAGTCAGCCAGCAGCTTGTGGAGGAAGCGAAGTGGAGAAACCCTTACCCATTCAGAGACAGGAACTTACTTATTACTTTTCTTAAACAGCTTTTTAAAAACTGAGCCTCGCTGGGATTATTACCTTCTTGAAAGTCTTTGTTCCCTGCAAGTGGACAGGTCCCTCCATGCTAATGACCCCCAAGCCATTGCCTGCTTAGAAGAATTTTAGTTCAGTCTGTTCCGACTCCCCTTCGCAGTGTCTCTTGCTGAGAGCCACCGTCGTGAAGTGCGTTAAAGGATCTTTTATGGACAGATATTTTAAAATATAGTCTTATACTTATTTACACTTACCTGAGAATTTTCCAAAGTAAAAGTTCACGGGAGCATTTAAATAAAACATTTCAATGTCTTTCTGCTCTAAGGCCACCCAACACAGTTATGTCTTGTCTAGTGCTTGGGCAAAAAATGGAAATTGATGTAAAGTTAGACACACAAGGCTGGAATGAAGTGTTTCAAGTGGTGGTTTGAGAATTGACTGTCTGTCTTAATTTGTTTTATTTTCACTTAAAATATGGTGGGGGGATTTTGGAATACAAATTCTGGCAGGCCACAGTTAACTCGTGTATTGCAGACAGGATCATGGGCCCATGTATCTTCATTCTAATACCATAGGTCTTCAACTTAAATCGTGTTTTAAAACCACTATTTAAAATAATAGTTCCTCCTACACTGAATTAGTTGCAAATCAGTTCACTTTTTATTCTCTCTCAGCACCACTTAGGTTCTCAGAAGGATTAATTAGAGTATGTGTTCAAAATCCAGTTGGTGGGTTTCTTCAAGTTTTTACCTCAATACGCAAAGCTGCTTCATCTGTAAAATGGGAATAATACTCTATAGGTGACATCCAACCGTGAAAACACTAAAAAATGACTGTTACTTAGTGATTGATTCTTAAAGCTGGCAAATTAACACAGCTTTATTTGTAAATCTTCATGCTTGAGCTTTCACTTTCAAGGTTGCTAATCTTGAGCCTTTTTGGATAACTGAAACGTCTTTTGGATTAAAACTACCTTATTTTTAATGAGTCCTCTTAATAATCAGCATAATCCTTAAGAATGTTTCTGAGTAGCTCAATGGAGGCTTTAACAGTTCCTAACAGAAGATATAGAAAAGTTTATGATGAAGTAACACTTAACACACCTCCAATGGGTAACGGTTCCTAGTGTTAATCTTGTATGTATTAAAATACATTTACATATTACATATGTTTGTATTGTATGAAATATCTAAGTTATTTTAGGGAGTCATATAAAGCATTCCTCTGTAATAGGACAGAAACCCCCCCCAGAGAAGTCTTCTATGTATGGTCTTAATTGCACTATTTCTTGAACATATCAGTATGTGAATTCTAACTAAAGTTTAATATCGTGATTATATAAAAAGCCCAAGTTCTCAATTATTTTATTATTCTTCCAGAAAATTTTAAATTAAACTTGAAACAATAATAGAATATAGTTAGACTGAGCACCTAGTACAGAAATAGCATTGGCAGATATAACTAATGTGGAAAAACACCCACGTCTTGTGGAGTGGGTAAAATGGAGACAGAATGAAAGCAGGAGAGGAGTTAGAAACCTCTCTTGCCTCATCTAACACTTCAGAGCCCTGTTCTTTGGGTAGTTGTGCTGGCTTGGTCTGATTTATATGTTTAGGAATATGCAGATGGGGTCAATACCAGCCGGTACCAGGTTTGTAGTCTCCAGAATCTTCTGTTCATCTTACTTTACTTCTTGGCAAATAAATGGAAGAGAGCAGCTTGGGGCAGGGGGTGGAAGGGCAAAGTGAACTTGGAGGAAAGGTGGCAAACCAGGCATTAAGTCTGGCTGTAAAAGAGAGTGTGGGGCCTGCCCTAAAGCTTTGCCTTTAAAAACAAAACAAAAACCTGGGTAAGGCAGGAGCAGTGGAATCCTCAAGGAAGCCTATGCTTCTGAACTTTATCTAGTTGGGCCCCTTTTAGGGAAAAAAAAATAAGGACATACCTTTATTTCTGGGACATAATTGATATTTTTATTCCA